GTTGGTCATTTTTGTTTAAAAAAGAAAAAAGTGAAGAAGAAAAAAGGAAAAAATGATAAAGGAGAAAAAGTTCCCAGGACAAAAGGATAAACTCTGGGCTAAAATCAGGTTTGGGGCTTAGCAGAGGATTTGGGCTGTCCACGCCCTCCTTTGCTCCTAATTACCACGAGTAATTGAGAGGCACAGAGGCAGGGACTAGCCACAGCAGGCCGAGCTGTTCTCCATGCTTATCCTGTCTTGGCGGGACACGTGAGAACCCATGCCCTGGGCCTGCAGACAGGGTTTAGGTTCGTCTGGTTCAGCCTAGTCTCTCCCTCGCCTGTCCCCCTCCCTGCCGCTCCCGCCCCGCTTCAGGCCTGCTTTGCTCTGGTGCTAGAGTAAGTGCCGGCAGAGAGGGCTGTATTTTCTGGTGGCAAGTGCCGGCCCATGTCCTCCCTTCTTCCACGGGATACTGTTCTGTTGTATTTCTTCTCTCTGGCAGCCAGCGGTCTGTCAGTGAAACTCAAAGCCCACGTTGCCAGGTGAGGAGTGGCGTGGCTCTCGTCTCTCCTTCGAACCATCCTGGCATTGGCTTGTGCGGGTGGGGTGCGCGAGTGTGTGAGAATGCGTGGGCCTGTCTCCGCACGCCCCCTGGCCGGCCCTGACTGCTCCCCTCGCCATCAGGCCGGACCTTCTGATGTTGTCATCCTTCCCTGAAGTTTCCGAAGCAGAGACCGAATGTTCCAAAGCAGTGGACATGTCTCCTTCTGGGCAGCTCCCTCTCTGAACCAAGGGTCAGGAAGAGACCCTTGAAAGAGACCCCTTGTCTTATATTATTGCAAGGTGACTTCTTGGTACCTGGGAAAACGGATAGTTGTAAATTTTGAGGTTTGTTTGGGAGGCGACCCAGAAGGGCAGAGGGTGACAGCAGCCCTAAGGATGGGGCTGGCTTCTGGGTCCTCAGATACAGAATGAGTTTATGCCCGTTGGTACATTCTGATTTGTATTTGCATGACCTCTGGAGAAGCTCTGAAGGAATAATTGATTGATTGATTGATTGATTATTGATCCATTGATTGACTGAAGGGTGTGAGAGGGCTACAAAAGTCCTTATATAAGAGGCAAATTGATAAATATGGAGTTGAGCAAGTCGAGGTGTTTCACATTCTATTGCTGGGTAACAAACCACCCCAAAACTTAATGGCTGACAACAAAAATAATTTAGCCTTTCTCATGTTTCTGTGGATTGGCTGGGTGTTTCCTTGACTGGCTCTGTCTGAACTCACTCCTGGCTCATCCAGCTGGAGGGTCCATGGGGCAGGAGTGGCCAAGATGGCCAAGGTCACACCTCTGGCAGTTGGTGTTGGCTGCAGATTGAGGGTCTCCTGTTTTCTTCTGTGTGCCTTTCATCTTCCAGTGTGCTGGCCTGGCTTCCTTCTGTGCTGCTCTCAGGGCAGCCTCTAAGAAGGTGAAAGGTGAGGCTTCAGGGCGCCTACAGGCCTAGGCCTGGGAGTGACACACTGGAACCCTAGTCTGCCCTTTGCATTGGTCAAAGCCAGTCAGCGTCCGGGTGGAGGGGTCTGCACAAGGGCGTGGATACGGGCAGGTGCAATTCACTGGAGCCGTTTTCTAACTATTTGCCACACCAAGGAAAAGAAGAATTGGGATTCGAATAAAAATCAGACTAGCATCTGGCAGTGAGAGATGGTATTGAAGAGGGTTGGGGAGCATAGCCCAGGAGCAGACTTCCCAGGGCTGGAACCCCCGCTCTGCTCCTCCCTAGTGGTATGACCTTGAGGAAACCCTGCAGCCAGCCTGTGTTCCTGGGTCCTTCTCTGCTCAGTGAGGGTAATAATAGCACCTATCTTGAAGCTTGTGATGAGCTTGAATTGAGTTAATACAAGTCAAGTGCCTGGTGCCAAGCTTGGCCCACGGTAAACACTGAAATAGATGTGAGCTATTCGTATTCATTCTATGTTCTCTAATGGCAGGTGAGTGACAAATGTGGCTTTAAGTTTTCAGTTCCAAAGCAAAGAGGCAAAAATACTCGGGTACAAGATGTGTAGTCTGTTTAGGCTGAGAAAAATCGTTGGTTCAGAAAAAGCTGTGCTGTGTTAATGGGCAAGTACGTGAGTTTACACACTTGCTTTTGAATGCGGCAGATCTGGGGAGTCTGCAGAATGACTGAGCTGGAAGAACTTCACACTAAAAGTAAATGTATTTTTCTCCCAGAGCAAATGATTAGAGGCAGTAACCTGTGTCTAAAATTTAGCAAGACGGGCTCAACTGTCAGAAGACCTTCACTGGGGTCCCAGCTCTCTTCTCTCTGGCTGAATAGGAAAATTGATGAATTCCTCCAAAGCTCAGCTTCTTTGTCTACAAAATGGGCATACTCGTAGTGCCGCCCTCGGATGGACAAATAGATTAAGCAAGCAAAACCCTTTGTCTATCACCTGGCATATACTACTCAATGAGTATTTGCTCTATTATTAGTATAAAGATGGTTTTAAGGGAGATCTCTCTTTTGGAAGATAAATTCTCTGGGTACTCTTCACAAATGGTTAGTGATATTATTATAAACTTCTCCTGTCTCTTTCTTAGAGGGGCATATGGAATTTTCAAGGTCTGTCCTAAAGTAATAAGCGTATATGCCAACAAGGCATAACCCCTACACTTAGCCTTCTCTCTAGTTCCACCCCAGCCCCCATTTTTCCAAATTAGCGAGCTTTATCACTTGTGTGGTTCTTATTCTCCGTCGAACTCCATGCGACCTCTGTGGAAGCTGGCTGCACCCAGGTCAGAACAGCCTTCAAGGACTTCCAGAAGTCTGTCAACAGCCCCCAAACCACGGGTTGCCACCTCCTCTTAGATGGCTCCTCTCCACATTTCTGCAGTTTCGGGATCCCAGCCGTGTGAAGTCAGGTTATCGTTTTCCCTGCCCCTGGGTAAGCTTCCCCTCACTCTCTCTGCCTCTCGCTTTCAGGCTGGATTGATGGCTTTAGAACGTTGGCCGGGAGGATCTTAATTTAAAGCCTCTGTCAGAGGTCGTTGCACGAACGTGGTGCCAGTAAAAAGCTGTTTTCCTTTGGTTTTGATCCTCTGTCGCCTTTCTCTGGGCATGAAATATGAGGTCGGGAAATAAGGTAACCAAATTGGGATTAGGGGAGCTATTGAAAAACCCTTGCATCGTCCCTGGAAGGGGCCGTGGCTCCATCCCAGCCAGGGGCCCAAGTCAAAATTCTGGGCCTTCAAGCCAGCTTTATGTCTCTGATAAACCAATCAGTTTCTGTCTCTTACTCAAGCTGCCTCTAGAGGTTCTTCTGGTGGTAGTTCTCATCAGGTTCAGAATCCCTAGTCTCTAGTCTGTCAGCTGTTGGAAACTCCTGTTGGTCTAGCCAAGGAGGTTCTGTTTAGTTTTTCTGTGTTTACATTATAAAAACAGTAGTATTTTTTCATTTTCTAAATTCAAAGTTATATTTTAATAGTGAATGTGTTCGGCATACCTGCTCCCTGACCCTGAGATATTTTTATGCCCCTAAGGAGACGATCCCCTCCCCTGCAAGGAGAATCACTGGGCTATTGCTTTTCAACATTTTTCCTGGGAGTGAGACAAAGAATCTTTTCCCCATTGTGTGACTTTTCCCCAAGACAGTGTTGGGCTGCTTCGCGGCGCCGTGTACCCCTGCTTTGTTGAAACCTCTGTACAGCTCATTTGTGAGTTATTGACGGAGCTGTTATTTCAGAGGTTTTGCTCCTTTAGAGTTGAGTTGCTGTTATTTTGACCGTTGGTGCTATTCAGTGAGTAGCATAAGTCTCCAGGTTGCTGATACCGACGTCCTGGCTCGAAGAATGTATTTTTATAACACTCTGTTAACATTTCATGGGATGTCCAAGACTATTCCTGTCATCTTCAAGAGGGAAGTTGTGGTGTCATATTCGTGAAAGAAATAAAGATATAATAAAGAAATAGACAAAACAGAGTAATAGTACAGGTTTATGATGTGACCCCTTTTATCGTAAAAAAAAACAAACAAGTAGGTGTGTGCATAGGTATTTTCATGTTGTAGGTGCAAGAGCAAAGGTCTAGGGAAGATAGTGTTTAACTTCGGTGGGATTCTGGGTTTTTCACAATTTTCTTTATACCAAGAAAAGAAACCGCAATGCTATTTATTTTTAATAATGAAAAGACAAACGAAAACGCAACAACAGCCGCCCAACAGGAAAGGGAAGTCAGGCAGGTAGACCGTTGGGTGGAATTTTCGGGCCAGGGGCCGTGTGGGGCCGAGGCCCCCGAGCTGGCCAGCCCTGGGCCCAGCTCGCGGAAACCAGGTTCGGCCGTTCAGACATGCTCACGGGCTGCCCACGGCTGCTGAGCGCAGACACTTCCTGTGGGTGTCTCTCTCTCCCACCGGATAGAGCAGCGTTGTGTCCTGGGCTCGGGCCTGTCAAGCCTACTTTGCTCAGCCCTGTTGGAGCCTGGGACGGAGTGGGGTTGGGCCCAGATTCTTTTCCTCCTGGGCACTGAGCCTCGATCCCCCGGGGCTGGTGGCCGTGGCTCTGTCCTGCTGGGCTTGGGAGAGTGTCCGTACACACAGGCATGCCCGCAGTCAGCTTGTCAGCTCTCAGGGGTCAGGTTCCTGCACCTCTGCCTCTCCCAGAGCCAGGAGACTGTGCATCAGCGGGAACCACTCTGCAAACAGCCCAGAAATTCCAGCCCCCGGGGCAAAGTGCCGTTCAGATAAGGAGTGGCCCTGCAGCCCCCGGCAGACTTGCGGCCCGTAGAACGTACTGCGTGTGAGTGCTAATGACCTCTGGCAGTGGAGAGGCTACAGGGAGGTTCTGGGCCTCCACCCCCCACCCCCACCCCCACCCCCACCGTGGGCCGGTGTGGGAACCACAGCTCTGCCTGGTGACTCCCCAGCCATCCATTGCTCGGGGCCAGGCCGGATCCTTGCTCAGAAAGCAGCAATGATAAGCCACGAGAGAGGGACAGTCACCACAGGCTGCCTCTTCTCTTGCAGAGAAAGTCCATTCGTGTGACCAGGAGAGGCAGAGCGCCCTGGAAGAGGCCCGGCAGAATCCCCGGGAGGGCATTGTCATCCCCGAGTGTGCCCCCGGGGGGCTCTACAAGCCTGTGCAGTGCCACCAGTCCACTGGCTACTGCTGGTGTGTGCTGGTGGACACGGGGCGCCCGCTGCCCGGAACCTCCACGCGGTAAGCCCTCCACACCCCCTGCTCCCCATCCCCCACCCTCGGAGGCTGTCCAGTCCCTGCGATGGACCTGGGGGAGGAGGAGCAGTTTCCCTGTTAGGCTAGCCTCACATCTCCCTGCTTGCCTGGCCCGGTGGGAATCATGGCACTAGGAGAACATTTCTGCTCACGGGCAGATAAGGTTCTGGTAGAAAGACCTGGGTCCTGGGTTCTGGTCACAATTCTATCCCCTCCTAGCTGGGTGACCTTGGAAAAGTAGGTAGCCCCTCAGAACCTCAGTTCACTGGCTAGGACGTTAAGGCCCTGCCTGAGTCCCTCGGTTCTGTGGATCCCAAAGGTCCTGCGTGCAGAAACAAGGTGACGTCGCTCAGCTTGAGTGATGACAGTGACATGCCCGAACATGTCTCAGTGGGCACATTGCTACTGGGATAGCCTGGCAGGTGCTGGACAGCGCAGGAGATATTTTGCTGCCAGCCCTGGGAGTTCTAGGCTTAGTGGCAGCAGGATGGTTGCTGCTGGGCATGGCTCCAGTGGGCTCAGTTCCCGGCCCCTCCTCACCCTTCCCACCCCCCCCACCGCGTCTCTCTTCCCAGCTACGTGATGCCCAGTTGTGAGAGCGATGCCAGGGCCAAGAGTGCGGAGGTGGACGATCCCTTCAAGGACAGGGAGCTGCCAGGTGGGAGACAAGGCTGCCCCTTGCTGGTGCTCTCACCTCTTTCTGTGCTTCCGCCTCCCATCGTGCGGAAGCCGCTCCCTCCTCTGCTCTAACTCTGCTTCCCCTTCTGTAGGATGGGGGGGGGGTGTCCTGGGATCTGCATCTAGGCTGGGGTTTGTCCCTAATGACTCCTGTGCCCTTGAGCACATTGTTCCTCCTCCTTGCTCTTAGCTTTTATCTTCAAAATGGGTCATTAGGCTAAGACCCTGTCCTTGCAGCCCTGCAATTCTTTGTCTGTCTGGGGTGACTGGGACAGTGTTCTGGGAGCTGAGAGGAGAGCTTTCCGGGAGGGGCTGTCCTGAGGGGCGTGGGCAGCGTCCGTGGCCAGCCCCGTACGGTGCTTGCACAGTCATCCCGGTGGCGCCGGACTCCCACTGGAACGTGACACGGGACGCGCAGGCAGGGGGCCCAGGACCTCCAACTGGCTGCTGTGATGGGTTTCTCTTATCTAGAGTCTGCTCTGCCAGGGAGTGACATTAGGTCACTAAATATTGGTGGCTTGGAACATGGTGGTCTTTAGCAAGCACAGACTGGGCTCAGTGCTGAGGGGAGCTGGGCCACCTTCCCACTCCCCATCAGGACTCCACCCTGGGAGCTGAAAGCAGAGGCTCCTGAAAGTCCGGTTGTAAAAACCACCCTGTCCCAAGATGGGAGTCACAGAGGCCAGGGTACCTCCTTCTGGTCATCCCCCCAATGACTGTGAACTGAGATTGTGCGACGTGCCAGGCGCTGGGTACGATCTGGTGCTCGGAATTACACGGGGCTCCCACAGCGGAGGAAACGGAGAATATACGAAGAAATGAATGCAAGCCGGTCTACGTAGCCGTGACAGGTGCTCTGAGGGGAAAGAGTTAGGAGTGCAGGGAGAGGTGCATGAGAGTGCACGAGACCTGCTTCGGGGTCCCGGGGCTTCTCTGAGAAGGTGGTGCTTCACCAGGGACCTGGCGGGTTTGTGGAGGGAAGAGAGTGAGTTGTTGTCACAGAGAGGAGGGTTGTGGGAACGGTTGGGGCTGGCAGTCACGAATTTACAGAGACGCCCCCCTCCATGGTTGCTCACACCAGCAGAACTAATGCGTGGGGGAGAGACTTGGGATTTTCCTGGAACAGTGCAATGGAGCAAGCGAGAAACAGAGGAAGGGAGGTTTTATCAGCATAACCTAAGCTGGATGAGACAGAAGTGAAGAAGGGAGACGGTTCTTGGAGAAATAAACTGGTAGGGCGACTTGAGTCAACTTTGACCACTGGGGGTTGGCTCCATCCCTTGTGCCCCCTCAGCACCTGCTCCTTCCCGGGAGAGCAGTGTTTCTCACGCTCTAGCGTGACCACCTGGGACCCACCAGGGACCACCTGACCACCCAGACTCTCCCAGAATGAGCTTGTGTTCCCGGGAGACCATGAACTTGGGCGGATAGGGACCCTGTATACCGAATCCCTAACATTTGACACAGTGGCTCAGTTGACCCTCAGCAAAAATTTGTGGAATGGAAGAGAAGCAAAAGCATGATTTTCTGTTTGTTCTGATGGTCCCTTGTGGGTCGTGGGTAGAGAAACTGCGGAGGTTTATGAGACTCATCTGAGCAATAAACAGTTCCCAGAGTGGATTTGGCTGGACAAGAAGGACTTGGAGAAGTTTGGGAAATGGTGGCCATTGAAGAAGCTGTTTACTTGGTTACTTACCTGACAGCTGCCTTTAAATCTCACTCTATCTTTCAGGCTGTCCAGAAGGGAAGAAGATGGAATTTATCACCAGCCTACTGGATGCCCTCACCACTGACATGGTGCAGGCCATTAACTCAGCAGCGCCTACTGGAGGTGGGAGGTGAGAATGTGAGCAGGACTCAGGCCCAGTGGGGGATGGGGGTCCCTGGCTTTTCAGAAGCTTCAGGAGACCGGGAGAGCAGGGAGGGGTTAGGCAGGGCAAGGGCTGGTCCCACCTTCTGCCAAAAATCTCACCCTCTCCTCTCCCTGTTCTTTGGGAATTGCTTGTCTCTACCTTTTAGTTACCTGGTTACAGGCAAATTCAGGGTGTCTAGAGACTTCTAGCACCTTAGTATCAGGAGTAGATGCACTGGGGTGAGAGTCGCAGGAAGGAGGAGGGGTCTGTAATGGGCAGAGGGGGAAGACACAGCGCTTGGTGATTTTCTTCTCTTCTGAGAAGGCAGGAATCATGTGCCTTTTTGGCTTCCTGAAAATCCCAAGGGCTCCAGCAGTGGGATTGGACATTGCCATATCCAAAGCCAATTTAGATCAGGAACTGATATGTGGGCTGAGGCAGTCCTGACATGAGGCTGAAATGCACACACGCCCTGTGACCAGCATCCCGACACTCACTAATCAGTTAGCCCATTAGGTCAGTGGTTGGAGCACACATGCATCCATCCATCTATCCATCCATCCACCCATCTACCCCTTCAGCTCCTGGTGAACATACGCAGCACACCAAGCACTGGTCCAAGGCCTGGGAATGCAGGGATGTAAGGCATAGTCATGTCTTCAAAGTATGCAGCTTAGTGGGCACCTTAGGCTGTAGACAAGATACTAGCAAATTGTGTGCTAAGTGCTAGAAATGAGGTGGAAGAACAGAGAAGGGTTTGCCAACTCAATCTGGAGGAGTCAGAAAAGCTTCCTGGAGGAGGTGATAGCTGGGCTGAATTTTGAAGGACAGGTAGGACTTAGCCAGTGAAAGAAGGAGAGCCATCCCAGGAAAAAGGAAAGAATACTGTGGCTCCAAGAAAGTGTACATTCATAGCCCAGGATGGCTGGGCTGGGGAGGATGGAGTGAGGTGGAGAGGAGAGTAGCAACAGATGAGACAGAAGGGTCAGTCGGGAAGCAGGAAGCCAGAGGGGAGGCCCAGCAGCCGGGGGAGGGGGGGAGGTGTGTGTGGAGGCAGTTCGGGCTCCTACGGCAGTGGAGGAAGTAGCCAGGCTCTGCAGGGATGGGCAGCCTGCCTCTGGGCTCAGAGGCTCACCAAGGTGGGGGGGGCTAGTCCCTCCCATCTGCTCAGAGGCAGATGTCATCAGCAAGGCAAGGAGTGCCAGCACGGTGACAGGTCCGGGTTCCCAGGCCTGTAAGGGGCCTAGGCTGGCGAGCTGCAGAGCCGCAGGGTGTGTATCCAGCACAGGGATGCAGGGCCGTCAGTGGTGCTGCATCCTGAGGCAGGGGAGGCTGGCTGTCCGGAAAACCCAAGGTGAGGTCCCATCCAAGTGAGTGCAGAGCTTGCCTCCTCCTGGGTGCCATTTCGGAAGCTGCCGGTCCGGTGCACTAACTCAGCAGCCCCACGGGCCTGGGAGCTCTCGGGCTGGTCGCTGGTCTTGCACACCCCGTGGATGGGATCAGGCCTCCCCAGGAGGAGCACAGCACCGCATCTGAGAAGATGGAGACAGGCTGACAGGCTGGCAGATGGGAGCGGCTTGGAGGCAGCCGAGGGTGCTCCGACGGTGCTCAGCCACTGGGCATCTACAGTAGAGAGGACCGTACCCATACCTCCCAGAACAGGGGGTGGGGGAGATTGTGAGCACTTATTCAGTATTCCATGTCTTTGTTACTTATGGTTGGAATACTGGTTGTTTCATGAAAAATTGAGGATGAGATATTTATGTTTATTAGAAGAGAGTGGAAAAAGTACCCAGGAGGGGGGGCATGGGCTTCAAAATTCCAGGTCTGGCTGCTTCCCACCCAGAGCCCCCCAGGGCTGCTGGCTCTGACCAGCCACTCGGGGAGCCTGCCTGGTGCTTTTGCAGCACTCTTGAGGAGACAAGATTTCAAATGCGTCCCACTTGCTTCCTTGGAAGCTCAGCCCTTGAGCATGGTCTGGCCGGGGTCCCAGGTGGACTGAGGGTGCCAGGGAAGTACCAGACCCGACTGGGTCCTGGGCCAGTGGATGAGGGGCCTGCAGGGGCAGAGGGCACAGGCGGGGGTCCCCAGCCAGGGGACATCAGGACTTGATGCCTTGCCCTCAAATCACAGGCCGAAGGGATCTTTACAGAAAATAAAAACTAAGAAGTGTATAATGTTTTTAATATCAATGTGTCCTTAGGGAAGAGATTTTCTTTTTTCCTTTTCTTTTTTATTAAGATTTTATTTATTTGACATATAGAGAGAGAGCACAAGTAAGCAGAGCGGCAGGCAGAGGGAGAGGGAGAAGCAGGTGCCTCACTGAGGCACCTCCCTACCACCTGTCAGGACCCTGGGATCGTGACCTGAGCTGAACGCAGACGCTTAACTGACTGAGCCACCCAGGCATCCCCCTCTTTTCTTTTTTAAAAACCCTCTCTTTTAGGTGTAATACAGATACAGGCTTGGGAGAAGATTAAAAAAAATATTCTTTCCTAAACATGCTTTTCATTTTAAGCTCCTGTTATGCCAAACCTGTGTTTGGTTTTGATGGGAACGAAAAGTTTGAACCGCACTGGTAATTGTGTTACTCAGAGGCTGCACTCAAAATCAAAAGACAGGCAAGAGGAACCAAGAAACAGTTTAGAAATCCAGGAAGAGGGGTGGGGGGCAGGAAGAGGGCGAGAAAAGCCCTTGTGGGGGGAGGCCGCTGCCAGGCTTACCGGTTTTCCTGCGTTTCAAGCCCTCCAAAGTCTCTCATTATGTTTAGGGTAAGTTCCAGCTCCGACCTGAACTGGTCTGCAGGAGGGTCTTGCCGGCTATGTCCTCCCTCCCTCATTGTGCTCCAGCTGCTGGTCCTTCTCCTATCCTCAAACAGGCCTTGAACCTGAACCCTCCGGGTTCCTGCCTGCCCCCCGGGTCTCCATGGCAGCTCCTGCTTCAGTCTGGAATATCAGGCCCCATCTTCCTGTGACCGGCCCGGTTGTCCATTTAAATGTCACTCTCTTAGCAACCAACCAGTCTAAAGGGGTTACCAGTCACCTTCTATCACCACACTGCTTTTTAATTTCTCAGCCAAGCATTACACCAGCTGATGTTTTGCTGGTTTGTTTATTTATTGCCTGTCTCACCCCTCCTGAGTGAAAATTCAAGTTCTGTAGAGAAGGAACATTGTCTGCCTTCTTCCCTGCTGTATTCCCAGAACTCAGAATAGTCCTTGGCACATAGTAGATGCCCAATAGATATCTGTTGAATGACTAAGCAGCTAGAAGGATGGGTGGATAGACGGATGGGTCCCTGGGTGATACGGAGAGGCGTCTTTATCCTGCGCATCAGAGGGTTCACCACCTACTGCAAGACTCACTATGAGGCCAACCCTAGCCATCAAATTCACCATGGTGCTTCTCTGTCACCAGGGCCCGACAGCACCCTGCATGGGCCCGAGAGACTTGGGGCACCATGTGGATAGACCCTGGCCAGGCCCTCTTCTGTGATGTAAGCGCTAAGGCATGGGGCAGAGGAAGGTTGGGCAGCACATCTGGAGTAGGGCTGTGGAAGAAAATTTGGGAATCCAGGCTGCCTGGGCTTTAGCCTTGGCCCTGAATTCAGGCAGCATTGGGCCTGTAGGCACAGAAGGCTGAAGTCAAGGAAGACCCATCTGATCCTTCCTCCCTCCTCTCAGGGTCTGGTAATTAAGGCTGGACATCCGCTGGGGCCAGTGGGAAGAGGGGACAAAGAAGTCGTGTCATCTCCCCAACCTACCACCTGTCAGGCCTGGAGATTTGGACTTTGCATGAACTCTTACATCCCCGCTCCTCCCTGTTATAAGCGCTGTGCAGGGTTCTGGGGGCAAACAGGGACAAAGGCGTAGTCCCTGGCCTGGAGGAGCTTCGGTCTGGTCGAGAGAAGAGGTATAAAATCCATGATTGCGCTATGAACTCAGGGTGGTAATAGAAGCCCTGAAAGTGCCTCAGGGACTTGGGGGCAGGAGGGCATGTGAGAGACGTCTTCACCGAGATGACATTTGAGCCACGTCTTCATGTATGAAGGGGAAATGCCCCAATCTAGATGGACTGAGTCAGGGGGGCCCTAGGGGCCGTGAGGTAGGGCCTGTGCAAGGAGACATGAGAAGTATGGCTTCTTAAATCTGGGAGGCAGGCAGAAGGTGAGGCTGTAGATTTGGGCAGAGACCAGATCACGCCCGGCCTTGTGATTCATGCCAAGGGCAGCACGACACCCGTGATTAGGTGAGCATTTTTGAAGAATCATCCTGACGGCTCTAGGGAAGCTGGATGGGAAGGGAGCAAGATGGGGTGGGAAGGTTACAGCCATCATCAGAGGGACAGGTAAGGAGAGGCCGCACTACAGCTATGGGGGAAGGGATGGTTTGCTGAAGCTTTGTCGGTGAAATTAATCCAATTTGAAGATGACTTATTAGTTATAGGACATGGCAGGGAGGGGAGATATCTGCTTCCTTATTGGCCTTCCAGACTGATTTTGGGGTTGGGAGGGGAGCGGTATTGCCCAAATCTAAGAATAGGCAAAGTAGAATGGGGTGTCCACGGAACCATCTGTGGTTAGTGCGTGGGAGCATGGCAGTTCTCAATGAAGGTTTGGGGGATGATGGAATTAACCTTATGGTCCTTCCCGCCAGGGCTCCAGGAGGAGAGCTCCCTCTTGGATCAGCCCTCCTATGGCGCCCACTAGCATTTATCAGACCCAAAGGAAGAGTTCTGAGATCCCAGCTGGCAGAATCTTCTCGAGCAGGGAAACCCTCTCCTTTCTCCATCTCACCCTAGAGAAAGTCAACTTTGAGGGGAGGTGGGGTGGGCTGTGTGAGCCTTCTGGCCCCTCATGTGGTCCCCCAAGGAGAGACCGTCTGTACTGTGGCTCCCTCCTTCCTGCCCAGCGAGGCTACTTGTCGATGGCCTTTCAAGGAAGAGGCTGGAATGTGGCTGACTCGGCATTTCCCAGCCCCACCCGCCCGCCCAGTTGGCAGGGCCCAGACCCCTCTCCAGATGGGGCTCAGCTGGTCTGCTTGGCTTGGCTAGCGCTCCCAGGCTGTCCCGCCTCACCTTCTTTAAAACTGCTTGGGACAGCAGAACAAGGCCCAAGAGCTTGGCCAAAGCAAGTTTTCTTGTGGCGCATGGGGCCGGCTCTCCAGCTGTGCGTTGCAGCCAAGGCCTGGCAGGGGGAAGCTGCAGAAGCAAAACTGAAAGTGTCGAAGGAGAAGGGCAGCACCTGTCACCTCTCCATTCCAGAGACAACTCAGTGGGGCCAGTCCAGGGAGGGACCTAGCTCGAGTGGGTTCCCTCATCCCTGGAGGCAGGAGTCAACAGGACAGCCAACCAAACAGCCCAGAGATGGAGCTGACACCAGTCTTTGGATTTGTTTTTCCAAAATCTGGAATTTGGTATCCTTTGGGTGTGACTTTCCATACCATATCCAAGGACACTTGGATAACTCTACACACCCAGTGAGCCCTTTTAGTAGAGTGGAACCTTGCCTGTAGGGAGGCCCATGGCACGGATCAGCGATATGAAGTGATATATGGAACCATCTCGCCCTCTGATGTAGGGTCCCCAGCCCTTACCTGGTGAGCAGATTTCAATTTCAACAGTTCTGATCTCCAGCAGGGGTTGTGTGTACATATGTGAGAGAAAGGTTGGAGGTTTGGTGCCAGTGTAAGTAAGCCTAGAGCTAGGAGTGCAAGCTGCCAATGTTTTTAGAGGGTGCTTCTAGAAGGCTGCGAGAGCTGGAGGGATCAGTGGGGTATGGCTTTGAGGTCAGGGGTAAGTTTGGGAGAGTCTAACTGTGATGGAAGGGACTCCAATACTGCTTGAGAGGTTTCTGGAAACTCTGGGGGAGGCCCTTTTGCCCCACCCATCCAGCACTTTCCTGGGAGAATCTCGGCTTCTCCTTAACTAACTGAGGCCTCTCTTGGCTCTTTCGCACACGTATGCCCACTGCTGGTTTGACTAAACCCGGACTCCTGATCCATTTCAGTCTTGACTTGATCTTGTATGAAGCATGGTGCAGACTTAAGGCTGTTGTAAACCCAGAAACCTGGTTTTCAGAGTTTTAGACTAAATGCCTTCAGTAGTTTTCTATTATGTTTTGTTTTGTTGGAAATATTTGTTGGAAACGACCTCCAAACCCCTCCAGCTACCGTCCTTTGGTCTCCCCCCATCTTCTTCCAGAAGGCTCACTGTTAAACATTCTTCTGGGTCCATGGCTGGAGTCTCCTTCCCTCTAGATCAAGCGTTCTTCATCTGAGTCCATGAGCTCGGATGAGGTTTAGGGGGTCCATTAAACCCCAAAAGTCAGCAGAGTGCTATGCGCATATGCAATTTTCCAGAGAAGACCGTGACTTTGTTTAGGTTCTCCAAAGGGTCCGTGATCCCTCAAAGCTAAGAAATTCTTGCTTTAAGTGGACTTGGAGCTTGGCCAGGGTAAAGCACTGGGTTCCTGAGTAGGACCCTAGCGTTGCCAGTGTCACATGTAGAGCTGGGCTCTGTGGTCAGGGGTGGGGGTGGGATGTGGGTTTCTGGAAGTCAGAGGAGTTCAGAAGCAGGGAGTCCTACGCTAGCTGGGGAGGAAGGAGGAAGAGGGAGCCCCCCGGGGTCCACAGGGCAGGCTGAGGGTGTGGCAGGGTCAAGGGAACCAGAGACACTGCTTGGAGGGACCTCGGAGGACTTTTCCCGGGGACGTGAGTATCCTCGGAGCCCCTAGGGCCAGGTTAGGCCAGGGGTCATGGCCGCAGGACCCTGGGGGAGTGAGGAGGGCAGGACCGAGTGGATAAGGGAGACAGGGCAGGGAGGGAGAGTCAGAAGAAAAGGAAGGAGGAGGGAGCAGGAGCAAAATGCTGGTCGCTCTGCGTGGGGGGACCCTCCCAGAGGTTGTAAAGTGGGGCAAAGAGCTGCTTCTTGCGCGGACCAGTCCAAAGGAAGGTGGGGGAGCCCCCTCGTTGGAGTCCCTGAGAACTGGGCTGGCGGGAGCCCCAGCAACACGTGTTGGAGGCAGCGGGCCTCTCCTGGCAGGGTGGCTGGGCGGGATGACCTCATCCCTTCCCGGCTGGGCGACTGAGGCTTTATTATTCCAGCCTCTAGGTAGACATGACGCTATGCTGAGCCTAAAGGTTAAAGAGCTGCCTTTGCCCACGGGGCTCCCAGGGCCCCTGGCGGGAGGGGCCCAGGGGGAAAGCACTCCGTGGGACCGCTGGAGCGCCTCCCTTGGGGCTCTTCCTGGCTCTCCTCCGCAGCCGGGGCGGGGGGCCCTCACATTTAGGGGAACACAGGCAGGCAGGGTGCTTGAGAGGGAGCTGGCCACCCTCCCTCCTGTGCCGTGGACATCTTGGTAGAGAATTCTCCGCTGCTCACCCGGTTTACCCTGCAGGCTTGAGAGTGAATGTTGTGGGTAAAACAGAGGGAGCGCTAAAACACCAAAATACCACGAGCTGGCAGAAACAAAAATCTGGGTTCCACAACAAATAGCTCCACATCTGTTCCAAAGACCTTCTGAGCCTGTCTTCCATGACAGACTAGGCAGATCCCCAAAGAGCCAGGGGCGGATGGTCCCTCACACCTTCCCCAGGCACTCCCTGCATTAAACCTGTCAGGATGACATCCCACTGGCAGACGGAGTAATTGTGCTGTCTGGGAATCAGCCCAGGATGCCCAGGGGGTCCTGCCCAGGACTGCAATCCAGTTAATTAAGAATGGGCATTTAGCAGGGATGCCTGGCTTTTTGGGGTAATGAAACTTCTTTTCCCCTAAACGTTGAGGTCACTTGAGGGTGGGAAAGGGAAAGAGTTTGCTGGCTCGTTCATAAGGGTGGGGTCAGAGATGGTTCCCCTCCCTTCTGGAAAACTCCGCAAACCCCAGGGAAGAACCCTGAGGTATTGGCAAGTGCCTTGGATATTTTTCTTGCCAGATACTGTTTCAGAATGTGCTGGGAGCCCGGAGCCCCTGGTCCGGGATCCCTGTGTGGAAGTGAGCCCCTCCACCTCCACTTCTGATGCATGGCAGTGCTGTAGATTAACCCAGGGCCCTACAGACTGCTTGAAGGTGTTGGCCTCCCAACCTCAGCCTTATTACCCCCTACAAAGGGAAAGGTGCCCAGGATTTTGAACACAAGGGCCTGGGCCACATTTACTCCGTGCCAAGCCCTGAGGGCAGGAGCCAGAGTCACCCCCTCTGGAGCAGACCAGTCATTGGCTCTAAAAGTTTAACGTATTAGCTAGCACCCTGAATGGGTTTGTGGGGGGTGGGGGAGATAGAGCGTAAGTAAATAAAATGGATGGGTAGGGCGTGCATACAGCTACACATAAAAACATTGGTCTTGCCACTTTATGTCCTGTGTAGACAGGACTGTGTTAGACGTGTGGTCATCACTGTGCCCCTTGAGCCCAGGAAGCCTTCTTGGTTGCTCTAGTCTGGTACTCCTAAGCAAAATCCCCAGGGGTTCTAGTATACCTGTGGTTTCCTAGGTCCATCCCAGACCTCCAGTCTTAAAACCTCTGCATGGAGAGACGCACCCCCAGTAGGTCTGGGACTTGCCAGTTTCAGAACCTCTGTTTGTGTCCACCAATCGAGAGCCTTCTTCTCTCGATTCCTACCATACTTGGTGCCTGACAGGGACAGACCATGGGAACTTCACACGGAATCGTCACTGCCTGATGTCAGGGTATTTGGCTCTGTCTCACCAGGACATTGAGCAGTTTGAGGCCAGGGCCACTCATCCCAGAACTTGGCCTGGTGTTGGGTGTGTGCATGTGCTCAGAGCCCGCTTTCCTATAGTACCGTTCGTTGAGGGTTCATGTTCCCGGGCCAACAGCAGCTTGTCCTGCAGAGAACACCAGGCCAGGAAGACAGCTTGGATCCCAGCTGCGGTTTTCTCAGGTGAATTAAATCTAGCCAATATATCCCGAGCACCCATCGTGTACAAGAACACTCCTGGCTATGGCAGAGGGTGAGACAGGCTCGTGTAACAAGGGGGGGGGACCACTCAGGGACCCTGGAGAAATAAACTCTCCAGTCTTGAGAGTCAAGCAGGAGAGGATGGTTCAATCCTGCTGCCGGCTGTGTGGGGCCAGGAGGTCTTTGGCTCGGAAGAGCCATTTCTCCCTGGCTGCCAGCAGCACAGCACGAGGACCCTGGCATCTGACCTTGGGGTAGAGACTTGGCGGCAGGGCGGATGGTCCCTGCAGGATCCTGAGTGGGGCTCTCTGGGGTGGGCGGGGGGTCTGCCTGTGGCCCAGGTTTTCAGAACCGGACCCCAGCCACACCCTGGAGGAGCGCGTGGTGCACTGGTACTTCAGCCAGCTGGATAGCAATAGCAGCAATGACATCAACAAGCGGGAGATGAAGCCCTTCAAGCGCTACGTGAAGAAGAAAGCCAAGCCCAAGAAGTGTGCCCGGCGTTTCACTGACTACTGTGACCTGAACAAGGACAAGGTCATCTCACTGCCCGAGCTGAAGGGCTGCCTGGGTGTCAGCAAAGAAGGTGAGTGCTTGTACCTGTGCTCCTGGCCCTCCAGGACGTGGCTCATCCGGGGAACAGGGACCACGGGCTCCCCCCCGTAGAGGGGACCCCGGGTACTCATGTGTTTAACTACTTACCGAGAGTGTGTTATGCTCTACACGGGATGCTTGGTGCAGTGAAGGAGTTGACAGGTAAAATCCCTGTCTTTCCACAGTCTACCAAGGAGACAGTTATGGAAGTATTTACAGACACTGTGCTAAGTGCTGTAGGAGTGCCTCAGGATAGGCCAGGCCACGGTGATGAGTAGACCCACACATGTAATGGCTCAACACAGGACAAGTCTGCTCATCTTGCCCATGCAATAGTTCAGCGGGATTCCAGGTCATGGTGTGTGCGTGCGTGTGTGTGTGTGTGTGTGTGTGTGTAGGGGGACGAATAGGAATGGAGATTGCTCTGTGCAGTCTCTCTGAGATCTTGGCTGGGAATGGTTCGTCATCTTTTATTATGTGGCTTCAAGGTCACCCTGGGGGTCATTTCCATTCCCAGTCGGCCAGATGGAGTCAAGCATGGAGTAGTGCATGTGGGGGAGTTTTATGGGCCAGTCCTGCAGTGACAAACATCACCTCTCCTATTTCCCGGGCTGGAAGGGCCACCAGGCCACACTGCACAGTAGGGAAGGCTGGAGCCCAGGTAAGAGGAGGAGAACATGGATTCTGGTGGAAACCTAACCATCTCTGTCATGATAGAACAAGTGTGGGGTATTGTAGGAACATGTGTAGGGGCACTTAAATTAGCTCAGGGACAGACAGCCTTGGAAAAACTTGGTGCAGGAAGTGATGTCTAAACCAACCATGGCCCACGGGCTCCATCTAGTCCGTGGCCTATTTTTGTATGGCTTGTGAGCTAAGGGTGCTTTTTATATTTTTAAAGGGATGTAATTTTCAACAAAGAACAAATGACAGACTGTGCATGGCCCAGAAAGCCTAAAATATCTACTACCTAGTTCCTGACAGAGAAGTTTGCCAAGCCCTAGTCTAAACCGATACCTGAGGAATGGGTAAGGAGATGGCCAAGCCAAGGTGTCAGTGGTGGGAGGGGTGTTCTCGGCTATGGCAATTGAAGCGTGAAGGTGTAGAGGTGAGGGAACAGTAGTAGAGGAACCGAAAGATGTTGGTGAGACTGAAATGTGTATTTGAAGGTGGCAAGAGCTGGGTGGGGGAGTGACGGGGGGCAAGGGGAGAGTCTCAACTTCATAGGGGTAGCAGAGGGCTGTCATAGAGGTTCAGGCGGAGAAATGATTGGATTGGTTTTGCTTTAAAAAGTCATTCTGGCTGCAGTGCGGGAAATGGAGACAACCAGTGTGGTTTGGACATGTCAGGTTGGATGCACCTGAAGGATGGGTGGTTCTCTAGTGCAGGTGAAGGGTCTGGGATGGTGATACCAATTTATGTGAAGTGGAAGCTTTGAAAAAGCTGAGATTGCCCAGGGAGAAAACATAAGGGCTTTTCCTGGTGCTAACCCTCAGTAGGCACTGAACCCAACGGGTAGCACAGGAAGCAGATGAATGACCACTAGGGACCCTGTCTGGGACCTGCCCTCTCCATGGCTGGTTCTGGCCCCGGCTCTGGAGCCTGTGACCCTGGGTGAGTGAGCTCATTGCTCTGGCCACTCCTGTCTGGTTGAGGATGCCTCTGTGCGTTCCCCCAGGATGCAGTACAATGTCATGACTCAAACCCTGCCCTCTGCCCACAGACTAGCTCCTTCACCGTAGACAAACCACGCAGCCATTCTGGCTTTCGGTCTCTTCATCTGTACAATGGGAGCAACCAGGGTATCAACCTCATAGGATTGTTGTGCTGATTCAGTGGGACAGTGAGTGAAAACATTTATCCAGAGCCTGAGACGGTGGACCTGGATAGAAGTTCAACGTTACCGTCCTTCTTAAGATTATTGCCTGAGGCAGCAGCACCCACAACCTGAGGCGCAGTCTCCCCCCGCCCAGCGCCGTGCCTGGCACCATCGTGTATTTCCCAGAGCACAGGCAGAGGACCAGTCCTGGAGAGAGACCACCCAGTGTTGGTGTAGAGCCCAGGCCCACCCAGGAGCTCGTAAGGACCGAGGAGGGTCGGACCCACGGGGGTCTGTAATGACTCTGCCCTCAGTCCCCTCTGGTCTATGCAGCACACAGATGCCAAGGGGAGGCCAAGCATGGTGACCTCTTGTCAAGAGCTCTGGGACGGCTCTTGACCCCAGAACACACTGCCTGTTTCGAAGTGTGGCTGGGGCGCCTGTGTCCGTGTGCGTGTCTCTGCGGGTGTCTGTGCACAGGCGTGTTTTGTGCGTGTCCCCGCGGGCATGCTTGTGTGTGTAGGCAAGTGTTTGTGTGCACGTCTGCGCGCGCACCTGTCTCTGCATGTGTGTGTGTAGGCGTGCACGTGTGCATGTCTGTACCTGTGTCTCTCTGGGTTGGTGCATGTGCATATCTGTGTGTGTGCGTGCAGGCACATCTGTGTGTGCGTGTGTCCTCAGGCCGTGTTGCAGTCGAGGTGTCTAGGTGAGCCTAGAGAGGAATAGCACTTTGCTCGAGGTCAGAGGTCACACGGGAGGTAGCATCACTGCTGGCACTTGGACCCAGCCTCAGAATTTCCAGGCCAGAACGCTGTCCCCTCCATGAGAAGGACTTCAGAGTGTTCGAAGTTGGTCCCTTGTGTGAACAGGCCAGTCTTGCTTGCCTGAGGAAGGCCAAGGGAGACAAGACCAGCGGTGAGTCCGGAGAAATGGGGGAGCAGACCCAGCTTGGGGGGGATGTGAACGGGAGTAGAGGCTGCTGGGGGCAAGGAGCCACCAGCAAACTCAGGGGGGAGACCCATAGTTTCTAAGCAGGCTGTGCCTGCAGGAGAAAGGACCATTAGTGAGAGGCACAGGGGAGGGGGGGCCAGGGCTGCGGGTAAGAACAGAGGCTCTGAAGTCAGACAAACCTGGCTTTTAATCCCAGCCCTGGCACTCGCTAGCCCTGTAATCCTCGGCAAGTCACCTAAACTCTCTGAGCCTCAGTTTCCTTGCCTGCAAAATGGAGATGATAGTATCTACCTCATAGGCTTGGTGTGAAGATTTAACAAGATGGTGCATGTGAGGAACTTAGCCCAGTACCCTGGTTCGGGGTGAACGCGCAAAAGAAATTGGTAGTAGTAGAGGAGCACGCCCACGGGCTGAAGGCAGCTTCCCTGGGGTCCTCTGCTCTGGGGAGCGGCAGAAAAGCCACTTGGGTAGAAGGTTATGTGGGGCCTGAGCCCAGGCATTGGTCATCTGGTGTCATGCGGTGCCCTCTGGTGGGCTGAGAGGGGCTTGCAGGCCAGGTGGGGGCTCACGGGGGCTGGGGGAGCACATGCAGTTTAGGAACAAGTGTCCCTTTGGGTCTCAGGGACCACATTTTCTGGAAGTGCCTTGTGAACATAGGTATTTTTACTAAGCAGACAGCTCACTGGGGAGCTGAGCTGTCTGCAGGGCATGAAGGGGTCAGACATTCTGAGGGCCGGACCTTCTTTCTTAGCTGCTCCTCCCCAGTTAATAAAACGTCTTCGTCAGGATGATGGTCACCATCCTGTGAGGCAGGCAGCCTGGAGACTAGTTCCTCCATTTGTGAAACATCTCAGCCCTCCCTTGGCCTTGCCCGAGGATGCTGCCTGCCCTGGGTTCAGGCTCCCCCGCCCCCCCCGCCCCCCGCACCCCCTAAGAGCATGGTGCTGGGAGGACAGAGCCAGGCCTGAGTTCACTTCACACATAAAAGCTATGCCATCTCCAAGTCTCAGTCCCCCAATCATAACACAGGGACAATTGGATCATTTTGTAACTATCATATAAAGTTGCCCCGTGGGGTAAATGACGGGATTTGGGTAAAGGATTAGTGCCCTAAGCCTCCCCAAGTGAGGGCTGGATCCTACTGGGCGTGCATTTCCTTTCCCGAGTCTCGGCTTGGCGGGCGGCATGACTAAGGTGCCTCTCTCTCTTCCTGTGTCTGAATCTTTCTGCTCAACACTGAGAGAAGCCGCCGTTGGACGGAGCAGATGAATGATGGGATTCTGTCACTGCCCACCTGCCGGCCCCCGAACCCATCATTCTCTTCCCAGGCTTGTTTCCTCATCTGTAAAATCGGACATATCAGTATCTGCCCTGCTCCCACCCCCCAAACTGGGTTCTGTCGCTCTCAGGTCTTAGGAGTGTGACTGGGAGAAGGGGGCGTTGAGCTGTGGGTTCGCGTGACCCATGGGTGGGCATGGGTTCCCGCAGCACTTCATGCCCTTCAAAGCCCTTCCTCCACTTCATGGATTCAGTCAGTCCCCGAGGCAGGCCTGTGAGAGGCAGGGTAGAGGCAGCAAAGCTGTGGCCCCGATTCCCATTCTGTAGACTGACCCAGCAGGGTTAAGGTACGTGCACAAAGTCACGCGGCCTCCAGGGGTCACGCAGAGCTGGCCCGGCTCTTGGTGCACCGGCCCCTCAGCTCCCACTCCTCCTCGAGGAACCCTGGGCCCTGCAGGAGCCTCCAAGACCCATCAGCACCCTCTGGGGCAGAGTGGGTATTAGCAGGGGGAGACTTGGGCCTTGTTTAACTCACTCAGTTGCCCAAGCCTCAGTTTCTGGATTTGTTAGGTGAAGGGGCAAGACCAGATGGTCACTAAGATTCCCTCCAGCCCTGATGTTCTGTGACTTGGAGAACCAGGACCCAAGAAGGTTATGCAAATGTCCATCAGCATCAAAGCGCTTCTTAGCTAATAGCTGAGGGGATTTCAGAGAGGCACCCCAGTGAGGGCCTGGCTCATGGAAAGGGACTTTGTTTAAAGGTGCTGGCCAGCGGTGGCTTCACCCAGGCAGCCCAGGGCCACCAACACCCACAGAACAGGCAGCACAACCTCTGGCTCTCTCCTAAATCCATTCTTCATTCTGGGGGCTGGAGGAGATAGACACCCAGTAAGCTCCACCAGTCGTCTGGGTCAAGGCCCCTTGAGTGTCATATGTCGCTCTTTGTTGCAGGTGGTAGTCTTGGCAGCATCCCCCAGGGAAAATGAGCAGGCCCAAACCCATTCAGTAAGATGCCTTTCTGGGGTCCCCTCCGTGGGCCCCCCAAATGCAGCATTGGTAGTCCAGCAGGAGTGGGGGAGTTGGCCAAGTTCCCTAGGCTCCCATTTTCCATTTTTGTTTGCTGAGGACACAAGGGAAAGATTGGTTCATGCTACAAGGATCCTGCGGCCCTCACGGACAAAGCCACGCTTGCCTTTGCCGGGTTGAAAGGCTAGCGGCTGGGAGTAGTATGGCTTCTACGGGCTGCACCCTGCCCCCCCGCCCCCAGCCGTGCTGCCTCCACAAGGCCTCCTTTTCTGGAATGCCAGACTTGTCTCAGGGGCCATTGTGGTGCGCCATGGGGGCCAAAGGATGGACTGGTGAAACGGGCTCCTCTGCAAGTCGAGGCTCCCCGTGTCCTGCCCAGGCAACGTCTTGACAGGCTGCCCTTGTGAGGTAAATGGATGTGTGCGGTTGGGCTTCTCATAAACCCACCTCTGACTTCTTGCTTCTGCTTTCCCTTCTCAGCAGGACGCCTCGTCTAAGGAGCGGAAAACCAAAGGGCAGGTGGAGAGACCAGGGAGGCAGGATGGACCACCCAACACCTAACCTTCACCAGCTCCCCCGGCCCGGCCACATCCCGTGTAACATAAGTGGTGCCCCCCGTGTTTGCACTTTTGATAACTCTCATTTGCATGTTTTCTTTTTGGTTTCATTTTTAAACACCAGTATCTCATACCACAGTGGGAAAAGGAAAGGGAAAAAGACTGTTTATTCTCTATCTTATTGTAAGTTTTTGGATCTGCTACTGACAACTTTGAGGGGGTTTTTTTTGGTGGGGGGTGGGTGGGTGGGTGTTTGTTGCTGGGACTGAGAAGAAAGAGATTTATATACTGTACATAAATATATATGTAAATTGTATAGTTCTTTTGTACAGGTGTTGGCATTTTGCTGTTTGTTTATTCCTCCCCCCAACCCCACCCTCGTTGTGGGGGCTCCGGACACACAGCCCAGCTTTCTAGAACCCAGGACTGTATCCCTAGCCCACCTGGATCCCATTTGGAGACTGACCGCGGTGTGCATGAAGACGGGAGCCCTCCGATTGTGTTGTAGACCCCACTGGTTCTTTTCTGGCGGGAGGAGGGTCCCGCCCTTGCTTTAGCTGTCAGAGCCGGCAGGTCACTGGGCGTTTGGTCTTCCCAAAGGAGGCTGGGTTGAGGGACAGATGGGAGTTGCCCCCAGAGGGAGGGCAGCAGCCAGCACAGGCACCAGTTCTCCCATGCCCATGTGGTCCTGCTCTCTGGACCTCAGGTGGCCCAGGATGCGTCCGTGAGTATGCCAGGATCCTCGTGACCCACTGGGCAAATGATTCTCAGATGATTTGCCTTAGGTCATTTGAAAGATTTTCACCCGTGTTTAGCATCTACTCTGTAAAGCACGAGAAGGGAGGCAAAGAAGAGAAAGATACAGGGGGGCCTTCTATTTAGTAGATGTTTGATGTTTAGGCAGTGGAGGGAAGAGGACAGAGGCCAGCACTGATGAGTGCGGTGCCAGCCCCCTGCAAATGCACAAGCGAGGCTTCCCGAGACTGGCCCTCTCAGCCGCAGGGTCAGACTGGGTCTTCATCTCCGCTCTGTATCTCCCCTGCCACCCTGTCCTCAGTGGTGATGACAAGCCTGAGGGAGGAGTTCGGCTGGTCATCTTGTTGGTAACTCAGTGGTTTCTTTGTTTTTCAACCTAATACTGAGGTTCTTCCTGTTCCCTCAAATGCTCCTAAGGGCCTCTGGGCTTGAGGCCAATTTCAGAGCAAAACTGATTCTGGGCCTTCTACTTCTACCCGCTGTAGAAGTGTAGGGCTAATAACCCAGCCAGGGGGAAATCCGGGCCTCACCTTCCACAGACATGTTACTGGGATTCCACTGCAGGCTGCCCAGCCTTCCTTTGCCCGGGTGGCCCATTCAGACAGCCGTCAGACAGAGGGCAACAAGTGACACTTAGCGTCTCTTCCCATGAGCGGCCGTGGCAGCAACGAAGGAGGACAAGTGGCCCAGGACCGGTGCCCCTATCAGATTGCTCTTGGAAATCTGGCCTCATCTCATACCCCACCTAGCATTCCCGCAAGTGCACCCACCTCAGCAGACTGTGTATCCCATTTCGGGTCTGGAAGGCATTGGCACCATAAGTACGGGCCCACTCGAGGCCCTGCTCGGGGAGTGCCGGGGGCGGAGTTGGGGGGCGGGCACGGCCTCCTCAGGACATGCTCTGGCGGGGCCTTGGACTAGAGAAGGTTCTTGAGCAAGTCCTAGGGGTTGTCTCAGGGGTGACTAAGACATGCCAACATGGTAAGGAGGAAAGGGAGCCCCCCACCCGCCATTGTCCTGAACCGGATGACCCAGCGTGCTAGAGTTAGATGGACCTTCCAGAGGGCCCCGGCCCCTTTCCCTGGCCTGGAAGGAGCATGAAAACACGGAGAGGGCGCCCCCCTGTGGAAATTCAGAATCCCCCCTCCACAACCCTGGCATCTTCTCTCTCACACACGGGTAGGCTATGTTGTGTGGCTTTCCTTTGTGAGGATGGAGGGAGATATTTGTAGCTTGTTTTATAAAAAATAAAAATGGGTAAACCTTGGTAGCTGTTGCCTCTTTCTTTGGGTGGCTTCTTCTGATGGAAAGGTTTCTTTTTCTTAAAAGTTGGGTGGTTTTCCCTGGTGCTCTGATTCTAGGAAGCCTGAGCTATCAGACTAGAAGGGAACCCTGAAGTGGCTGAGAGGTGTCCCCACGGTTTGCTGCGAGGATATTGATCCCTTTGGCCCTCGCCTGCCATGTTTGTGCATCTTGGTACAGCTGCCGCCGCCCCTGCAAACCATTACTGGAAGGTCGGCGATGTTGCAGGCCATGCTCTGGGGGCAGGGCGGGGCGGGGGGGAGCCTGCTCCGTGGCTTCAGGCTGGTGGGGGTGGGCACATCGGTCATAATCCCCATCTCAGGACCCGAGGTGGGAAACAGCTGTAGACGGGGTGCAGAGCCCCAAAGGGGTTCATGCCATCTCTGGGGTATTCAGGTTGAGGCTGCTCGTCTGGTTCACATTGCTGGGGGGCTTCAGGGTGGGGATTGGCAGCTGAGGGGAGGCTCTAGATGTTCTCGGGTGTTGCTGGCATCTCTTCCTTTCACCCCCTCCCCACACAAAGGGGCCAGCTGTCCCTGGAAATGGCTTCCCCGACGCCCTCTGAGGACTTCCTCCAGATTTCCTTTGCCACACTCTGCCCCTCTGTCCTTTGCGGAGAACAGAAGGTAATTCCTCTTGAAAATTCTCCCCTAACCCTTTCTTCAGCGAAGTGTTCCTGGGAAAGAGGGTCACCCCTGCATGTCGTCACGTGGGTTGAGTGCTGACACGGCGTCTCCAGGCTCACCCCCGGCTCAGCACGCACTGGGCCTACACGCCGTGTCCCACTTATCACCACAGCCGGCGAGTCACGGCTTTCTCTCCAAGTCACACGAATCACACTCGGGAGTTCAGTGACTTGCTGGTGGCACCCACCCTCAGCTTTCCTGCCCACTCCCGGCTGCCTTCCTTGAGTGGCTACCACAGCAGCCTCTCCCCTCCTGTCCCGCTCAGACCCCAGCTGGTTGCATTCAGCTCTGAGTGCTTTTTACTCTGAGAAGTTTAGAGTCTCAGTAAAAGCCCCTGGTTTGCAGAGGCCTCCCATAGGCTTCAGGGATTTGGGGGAGAGAAATAAGGGAGGCATCTGCCCCTGTGGGACGTCAGTGGGAGACCTGGGGCAGACCTAGCCTCCAGCAGAGACACCCAGGCTGGTGTGGGAGAGGACAGGGCTGAGCTCACACGTGAGTGCAGGGCCAGCCTGCAGCCCCGTCCAGTCCTTCCTCCCAAGGGCCGGAGGACCATTACTAGCAGCAGTCAAGGAAAGATGGATCCATCCCGTTTCTTCCTTCACCAAGAGGCTCCCGAGCCACACCTAGCCTCTGTGGGGAGGGAAAGAGCGAGGACATTTTCAGTTAGGACGTGGGGAGAGGAGGATCGATGGGCCTGTGCTGCCATCAGAGGAGGGGCCTGCAGGCTAGTACACACTCCTGGTTCTCCAGGGGACCTAGAGGGGCTGGGAAGCCGGCTGCCTTGTAGAAAAGAGAGCCAGAGAGAGCCAGGTGGGTCACCTGGCCATTTACTCCCAAGTTCCCGAATACCCACAAGGCTACAAGTGTGGTTGCAGACCTCTGCAGCACTCCGTCTTCTGCTCTGTGGTACTCGCCTTCTGTTCCGCTGTGCAGGCGGGGACTGGGGAAATGAACTTTCTCGTACAGTGCCACGAAATCAAGCCCTCTTCCCTGCAGCCTGCGTCACCACTCCCCTTTGGGTGACTTCCATGAATCCATACGGAGAAGGGTCATGCCTGCCCACTGAATGGGGTACGAAGTATGTGACACAGGTTTCTCTTGTTATTTCTTAGCAAATCTGGGTGAGCACTCTGGCCAATTCCTTCTAGTCTTCCATGTCACCCCCAGCCAACAGCTCACCAATGCAGCCTCAGTCCTTCCCCTGTCTGCACCGCCCCCTTTCCCTTAAACAAGGGGCACTCTTTGAGGGTCCCTCTGCCCCAGGGTCTTCCTAGCCACAGCTTGGACTGTAGCTAAATGTCCACGATCCTGGGTGTGGCATACCCGACCGGGACAATCCTGATCATTCACACACTTGACGGTGGAGAGGCTGCATACTTGACTGTGGTCTCTTCCCTGAATGATGGGCACATTGCTAACCTACTCATAAGAATCAGGAGAGACCAGGATCAGCCGGAGTAACATACAGCCCCGCACCTCAGTGGCTTAAATCACAAAGGTGTTCTTCTCATTGCTGCAACTAATCCATGAGACGTCAGCAGGGGGCGCTCCGCCTTCTTGTCCTCACTCAGGGACCCAGGCTGAGGAAGGCTCTGTCCTCCATGCTTGTGGTGGCAAAAAAGGGGAGGTGGGGGACACATGGTACATTGAACCCTGGTTCCTAAAGCTTCCATGTCACTTGGCCCACATTTCATTGACTAAATCACAAGGTTCCCACCTAACTCAAAGGCAGCTGCTAAGTGCCCAGAGTAGAATTAGAAATATTTAGTGAACTCTGGTGACCATCACAACATAAATTATCTTTGTGTTTCCTTTTCTACATCGATTAAAAATTTGCAATTTCTACATTGTCCAAGAACAAGAGGCCTTGTTTTTTCACAGTTTATGGGGTGCATTGTGTGTCCATTGCTTCCGATAGACCACATTGATGGTACAGTGTGAATGCACCTTCTGTCCTGTGAGCTCTCAACGCCCACCCCCCCAACCTGGAAGCTACATCCCTGGTGACTGAGGCTCCCCAGTGCTTGAGAACTCAGAGGGGATAGAAAGCCCCCCCGTGAGGAATCTCGGGGCCCTGGGGACAAACATGAAATGTGTCCTCTGTGCTATTTTCTGTGGTGCTTTACTGCGCCTTCCTTCCCCTGTGCCGTGGATCCCTATGACAACTTCCAGGCTACTTCTCTTACTTATAAGCTCAGTTCCACGCATTACAAAACCTCAATCTCCGGCTTGATTTAGATCCTGCTCCCCCCGCTGCCCTGGCACCATCTTGAGGGGCACCCTGACTGCAGGGGTGGGTCAGGCTCTGACACCACGACCCTCTGCTTTCTCCAAGTGATGGGGTAGTGGAGGGCGGCGAGGAAACCCAGGAGGGCTCCTTAGCAGACGAAGCTGTCTTCCTCTGTTCGTGCTGGAGGCCTTTCAGGCTGGCGCGGGTTGCCCCCACGCCCCTGTGTGGTGGGTGCCCCAATGCTGGCTGTCGGAGGGGGCCCATGTCAGGTCCTAGCATGGGGGCCTCCCCCACTGCACAGGGCCTTTCTGTGAGAAGGCAGCCCCGGCTTGACCTCTTCGGCACCTCCCCACACCAAGGTACCCCACGTCCACTTCGTTCTCAGGAGGCTGCCTGCGGGTTTGTGTCTGTGATGTGGCTCGTGCCTGGCTCCCTTCTGGGGTGTCCCGTAGGAAACTCACGCCTCATTGCGCCGGAGCAGGTTG